AAAAAAAACATTCAAAATAATCAAGCAAAAACAGGGAACACATGACCGTCTTCTCCTGTCCTCCATGTATACTATACCTAAATAAACACTAATTAGTTTACAACATATATATGTACATCAAACTCTTCATCTCCATTTTCCTTATTCAAGACCAAAACTTTGCTGCAAGTCGCCTTCCCCTGCACCACATTATTACCCCCCTAAAAATATTTCATAACTATGGCCATATCACATACAAGATAGATTCAAAAAGCAAGAGAAGCAACTTCATCCACCCTCCACAGATCCTCCTCATACTTGTACCACCTCATCAACCCCTCGTCATTCCTCGTCCGCCGGCACATCTCGCACGACCCACTCATGCACGTGATAAACCCCTTCAGCCGACTTGCCCGCTCGATCAACCCGTTGTCGAGCTCCGTGAGGACCCGTCTAGCGCCAGGGTATGGGGGCACCTCGACTATCATACAGTGGGAGATGTTAAGTACCTCGAGCCCCATCATCCCATCCAATATTATTAAAAGGGCATCTCGGGAGAGATTCGAGCACCGAAGGCTCAGGACTTTGAGGTCCGGAAGGAAGGTCGCCAAGCTGGATGCAAACAGCACGTCACACGGGCCCATGATTTTAAGCTCCGAGAAATTCTTGCAGCTGCTCGAGATTTGCTCGATTAGGTAAGGAGAGTTAGATATGCTGGGCATTGTCAGGGACTCGAGCTCCCCCCATGCCTCTATGGCTCGGCATATGCCCGTCTTTTTTATTCGGTTCCACGCGGGCATGATTAGACGCCTCAGCTTGGGGCATCTTTCAGTGATGAGTGAAACAGTGATGAGTGAAACATACATGAGTAAAATTACAATTTATTCAGAAAGAGTAAATTGCAATTTTTGTCATGTATGTTTCACTACCCTAACATTTTCGTCCTCTTCGAATTACGTTTTTGTAGATTACAAAAAGGTCATTTTCATACTTTTCATACATAAGAGATGAAACTGGACTATTTCTTTCCTTTTTTTTTTTTTTTTGGTCTGTGGCAAAACATAAAAGACCTTATTGTTGCGAAATATACCTTTTGTAAACTAATTTGCAAACATACGGGACGAAAATAAAAAACGCAATTCAAAGAGAACGAAAAAAGTTAGGGTAGTGAAATATGCACGACTTAAATTACAATTTACTCAAAAAAAAAAAAAAAAA